GGCGGCTGGCACAGGTAGTTTTCAATGCGGTGGAAACACCCAAGGGCCGCGCTCAAGTCCAAGACCGTCTCAAACATGAAGAACAGGGGGCTTGCCAACAGAATGACCAGAGAGAGTGCAGCAAACAATTTAGTTGCGTCGAGCGTCTCTCCAGACTGGGAGATGATACCCATGTACATTGCGAAAGCAACCACCGGGGAAATCATGAGGGGAATCTGAGCCACGGCCGACGTGATTGCAGCAATCACGCGAAACGGGGTGGCGGCCTTCATTTCCGAAATTCTGAGATCCGCAATCGTTTGAGAGAGCTTCTGGGTAAGGCCGGACATCTTGATGCTCTTGACGTGTCCCATCATTGCCGAAGTAATTCCTGACTTTCCGTGAGTGGTTTGAGTTGTAACAAGATGGAAGGATGCATACCGATGCGTTTTTGCACTTTTTCTATCCACACAACTTGATACTTTTGCGTTGCAGGAGCAAATAGGAAAGTGACTATCAAAGCAGAAACCGATACAATTATGGGGCCCGCGGCTGCGTAGCCGATGTGACTGCTGAGGATCCAAGTTGCAAGGGCGAACTGGATGATGTTGGCCCAAAACTCATGTATCTCCCGCCAGGCGCGAATGATGGCGTCAACCTTGGGAAAGTTAATACTCGAAGTACACGGTAAGATGTCGGGAGACTTACATCTGTCGACATAAGAGTAACGGCTGCGGAATCGTCGCTGGAAGCACTCCTGAGCTCCGTCGTCTTGGAGTAGATGGCGGCGACCAACACGCCCCTAAGCATAGTCAAGGAGCGAAACGCCTTATGCCAATAGAAGCTTGACGTGATGGAGATGCCAAGATAAACGAGGCCATATGCCCCAATAAGACCATAGCCATGATTGACATTCTCGGACGGGTCTTGCAGGAAGTCAAGGAAACGATTCAAGACCAGAGGCTGGCAGATGGTGAAGCCCAGGAGACAAAGCCTCACAGGGACGACGGCCAACAACTGCCATTTCAGCGTCTTGATGCAAGCCCAGACGAGCCGATAGCTGTGCGGACGAGGTGAATCGTTTGTAGTGTCATTCGACGTCGACGATGACTCGTTCCAATGCAACCAGAAGCGCTCGCTCAGCACCGCAGCCGACATGGACTCATCCAGTGTGAACAAGTCAAGTGGCTTCAGGAGACGACGGAACCCAGTCATCAGCAGCGGCGTAAGCCACCAGAAGAGACCTCGGCTGTAAATGCCACTGGTCTCCTCAGGGCTTAACGACCGACCGTCTGAGTCGACAAGATACCCCGTCTTCTCCTGGGCTTCAAGAATCACGATGGCCGTCTTCAAGGCAAACGAGGCGGTGAAGACGGCGCTGATGGCAGCGCTTAAGTGCGACAGCCATATGGTGCGGAGGATTGCTCCATCCAGCACCAGAGAGACAAGCATGTATGTATTCAAGATGGACGAAGGCGTAAGGCTCTTCGAGTGTTCTATGTACGAGAGACCGCCAAACACCAGACTGGCCGCGAAAGACACGCAAGATGCCGCGATAGACACGGTGCGCAGACGCCCTTCGTCGCGATGGGTCGTCCAAAGTGCGATCAGGGTGAGTTGCAAGACGGCGAGGATGCCGATGGCGGCGATCTTGCATAGACGAAGAACGTTTCCAGAGACAGCGCGAGGAAGCTTCCCGAGTTGAAAGAGACGAAGAGGGGCGACGAGAAGCAGCAGTGAGGCGGGGAGAATAGTGAAGAGGCATTGTTCAAAAGGAAGAGTGAAGTCGAAGCCGTCACGGCAGTCGTGGATGATTGGGCCGAAAGAATCGTCGGCGGCTGGGGAGCACATGATTGAAGTCGAGTTGTCCATGGTGGGCGAAAGGCTTCAATGAGAACGTTGATAAAAGAAAGGGAACCTGCGCAAGTCAGGACTGAGGGATTGGCCTTTTTAATGCCCGGTCTGTCAGCAAGCAATCCAAGGGAGCGAGCCTTCCCCTGAGACACTATCCGGTAAAGGAAGGTGGTTAAGCAAAGCAATCAAACTGCTGACAAGGAGAATCCTGCATGTCTATAGAGATTCACACGAAATCGAGCGCCGCGTCCGAATACCGACGGCAGGATTGTTATGGGAACAACGCGACAGTCTCCCTCGGAAAAGAAAGAAGCTTTTCAAATGTTTCTATTTTTGTTTGCCGTTCTTGGGATAAACAGAACAGTCTAAGAAAGTTGAGCCCTCTTCTCATTTTGGAAACCAAGGAAGGTCGTTCATCATTGACTGGGGAAATTCTAGGCCAGTACCAATTCAGAGGATGGGTACTTACCTGCATGTATTCGGCTGGGCAGCCAACCCAGTACTGTGAGATCTGCTTAGCGCTGCCCAAACACCCTCCGAAGCCTGCCACACGTCTCCATTCGCGCCGGGCCCGCCTCCACAGCGCCAGACGCAACCTCAGAACCTCAGAAGCAGGTCCCTTCAGGGTCCTCAGTGGCTGTGAACTGCCCAAAACCTGACGCCACATCCCTGTCTCGTCCAAACAGGTTTTCCCGGGCGTCATCCGATGAACGGGCTAGACCGGTTTATGTGGGCCCCCGTGTGCCCACGGACAATACTGGCGCCACCAGCCGGGAAAGAAGGGCTGACAGAGGGAGGGTGGGCCCCGATGACGCAAACTTCGACATCTTCGCCCACAGACCCGACCAACCTCTGCGCAACAACAACAAGCCAACGCCAACCCTTCTCGCATGACTAAAATCTTGGCCACGTCAGGCCCGACAGAACTTGCTGCGCTATTCCACCCACCAAAACAACACTCACAGGGTACAAACAGCCAAGTAGATGATGCTCGCTTCTTCTCTTTCTGGTCCGCCCAACTGCCGCCCAGGCTATTGGGTTTTCCCCGGGCCAGTCAAGTGACGCCGATGGGGACAAACGGCCTTGTTCCTGACCCCCGTCTCCATCGTCACGGCACAGCATTCTTTGACGCCCACTCAGGAAGTCGGGGTCTCTTTGGTTGCATCATTGGTCTCGATGGGGTCTCAGATGGGCTGGCCTGCTGTGATTCACTCATCTTTTTAGGTCGCACCCTCCCTCATAAGGACAGTAGCTTTGGCTGCCCTAAAATCAAGAGTTCGTTGACTTTGTCACTGTCTCTTTCCACCTCCAAATCACCACGTACTAGACATAGACAACCTGTCGACAGGCCGTAGCTTACAGTTCCGGTCGTGTTCCCACCTGCCCACCGACAGCGTCCCAGTCCAACCACCTTTCTTTTGTCTTACACGAAGCAAACACTTCCGTCGGCAGCATGCATTTCACCGCGATAGTACCGCTGGTACTATCCATAGTGGCATTCGTACTCTCCTTCCTGGCCCTCTTTGCCGGCCAAAAGGAAGGCTTCATGGAGGATTACGACGTGATCCGCCTCAACACATCCGGACTCGGTCAGAATGTTTTGGACGTCAGCTCTGATTCATCCGGCGACGACGGAAGCACCTGGGACAGGCTAGTCGGCATCGTCCGCAACAAGACGTCTGACATTATCAACGACATCGGCAACGACATCGCGGATCGTCTCGCCGACGAGCTCGGAATCTCTCACTGGTACTCCCTGCATCTGATGGACGTGTGCCAGGGTGACTTTGCGCCCAACGTCACGGCTCCCAACGTCTGGCTCAACGTCTCTGCCTGCACCCAGCCGAAGCCTGGTCGTGAGTTCCACGTCGTACCGTTCCGTTATGCTCCATCACTGACTCTCATGTAGCCAATGTAAACCTCACCAAAATGCTGGACCAAGAGCTGTCCGTCGGCCCCCTGCGTCTGAGCCTCGCTGACCTCGATTGGCCCGATACTATCGAGGATGCTTTGGATAAGGTCAACAAGGCGCTGCTCGCCATCTTCGTTCTCTACGTCCTAGGCATCGGTTTCTCGGGTCTCGCCATTCTTGGCTCCTTTGCTGCCTTCTTCCTTGGTCCCGCCAAGCGTGCGACGATACCTAACTTCACCTTCGCCATGCTTGCAGCAATCGTGCTGTTTGCCGGCAGTTTGGTCACAACTATCGGTGCCAAGAAGGGCGCGGAGCAGCTCAACGACGTAGGCGAAGACGTTGGTCTGTCGGCAGAAGCCGGCCAGAAGTTCATGATTATCTCCTGGGTCGCCTTTGCAGTCATGGCTGTCTCTGCCGTCTACTGGATTACTCAGTGCTGCGTGGCGAGACGATCAACCAAGAGAGGATACACTGAGAAGCGCCACAACAAGGGCAGCTTCTAAGAATGAACCTCGTTGAAGAATAATCGACCCAAACCCTGTGCGCCTCTTTTTCTTCAGATTGGATAATTCGACGCGAAAGCGATTTTTTGGACACTGTTTGTCAGGTTTGACCTGATAGCCGGTCTACAACGGCCACCCTGACATCACGATCATTTTCATTATTTCACAAGATACCATTGATGCGACAAATGATTCCTTAGAATGAACAATTTCGAAACAGAACATCGAAATGTAGCAAGATGAATAGATTACTTTGAATGCCACGTTTGCCTCAAAACCGTTGTCTGTCGCCGTTCTAGCCTGTGCATGTAATTGACCGCACCATTTTGGCACCTATTGTCGTCTTCATCCTCGTCGTATCTGTACAAATTGTTCTGCTTATCTATCGCTCATATTGTCTCTATTTTCTGACGACCTTGTCGTCCTGCGTCTGCCGCAGCAACCGAAGCCCGGCTCCGGCTCCGAAGACCCACTTACCACCGCAGCAGTCCGGAATGTGGGGTACGTCATTCCTCCCTAAACAGGAAAGCACCTTCTCGGCCACGACCTCAGCTGCCCCTCAGCCTAAACCCAACCTTAGCTGAACTTCAGACCTTCCCCGCCGTCCCAACTACATCTGAAGTCAAACTCGAGCGTCAACTTCAAGCCTCTCGTGCCGAATAGAGTTCCGCCTTGCGCCCAGCTTTGCCTTCCCGCCCTCGCGACAACCGCTGCATCTTATCAAGGACCGACCCCTCAGGAGAATCCTCAAGATGCCTCTCCCATTCAGCAATCGCATCTCGTCCGCCAACAGCCACCCGGAGCTCCAGGACAGTGATGAGGAGGGCGACCAGCTCATCCCGCTTCTCAACCGAAGCCAGGTGAAAGCGAGGAAGGTTTGGGAGGGCTTCCTCGACTTTGCCACCCAGGGCGACATTCTCGGCATCGCCTTGGGCTTGATGTAAGTTTCCCTCGTGTGTCAATCGACGCATGCACCAGATCCTGTCTCCAGGATACCACGAATCGAGAACTGTACCGAATCTCGAGTAGGAATCGCGACTGACCATGTCCTCCGAAGAATCGCCTCCTCGTTCACGGCACTCGTCAACAACTTCGTGAACAACATCTTGATGCCGCCCATGTCCATCATCTTCCCTCTGAACCGCAATATTGAAGAGAAGTTCGCCGTTCTCAAGGGTGGTCCCAACTACAGCCACGAGAACAAGTACACGACTCTTGAGCGCGCCAAGGACGATGGTGCAGTCGTTATGGCTTACGGGTACGTTGCTTCACTGGGAGTACTGTTCTCTTGTGCGTGACTACTGACTGTTTTCGAAAGCTCTTTCCTCAACCAACTTGTCTCGTTCTTCTGCATCGGCTTCGCCCTCTATGGCCTTGCGCACATCTTTCAACTCTTTTCTCGAGACCCGATCATCAGACCTACGGTCAAGTGCAAGTACTGCCGCAAGCGTATAAGCATCAAAGTATGTGCCGAAATAGCTCAAAGTCGCCGACTGCAATACTGATTACGTTCCAGGCGCAACGTTGCGTCAACTGCTCTAGCTGGTTGGACGGTCGTGAGGACAGGCCTCTTATGTGACTTTCTAGTTTTTCTTTGTTTCCGCAGTCGGATACATACCACGTCGCTAGGTGATGATTTTCTGTTGGAGTCGTCGTTTTGGCATGGCAAGCTCGGAGTTGCGGCATGGTGGCTTGGAGGATTCACACTGTTACTAGAACACATCGCTATACAGGCCTTGATTTTTCGGGAATGGCTACTCGTTTCTAATTAGGACGGACAAGGCTTTGCATTTTTCCTACTGCCCCTATCAAGAGTGTCTTCTCCGCTCTGTATATCTACAATGAACCAATTTCCCATCGCTATTTGCATAGTATCATCTCAACTATCCCACCTTGAGATACCCACGCCTTTCTTAGACGCCGGGCATGGTTTCCTCGGGAAGTCCTCGGTTTCGATGGAAATATGTCTTTTGAGCCTTTGGAGACATGACGCAACGCCACATTACGAAAACCAAGCACACGAGGAAGAAAGCAGCAACGCTGAGGATAATGGCAACTACTGAGATGGTCTCCATCTTGTCGAGTGAGGTCTTGTGTATTTGCGTCGGTGGAGGTGATGAGTAAAAAGGAGAGCTTGGAAGCGGTATAATATGTATGAATCTGAAAGCGCAAACCTAAGATTCGGACCAGAAGTGATTTATCCAACTGGTATTTATCCAGGTCCTCCCGCGTCGATGGAGGCGGCCTCCATGTTACTGTTCAGGCCGATTGTTCAATTCGCCTCCGACGAAGGACTCACAGATTCTTTGACTGACAGTGGTTTGCGAAGGAACAAACAAAGCCTCCCTTGTCAACACATTGTCTAGCTCGGCAAACACACACATCACCTGCGTCCAGAGCAATAATGACTTTGACTCAAGGCCACTCAGCAGTGTTCGACACACACGCAACATACACTCTGTCCCAAGCCCTACATCACCAAGGCCCCAACGGCTCCAATACCAACAATGCTCACCCAGAAGTCCGCCTTGCCGAACCGAGCAATGGCCGCGTTGGGCGTGGAAGTGGGACTCGCCGATCCCGTCGCCGACCCGCCAGTCTGCGCCGCTCCGGATCCCGTCGCTGAAGCCCCCGTCTCCGCTGTCGCCGTTGCTTGCGCCTTTAGCTTGTCTAGGCCAGCAGTCACCGTGAGGGCGACGGTGAAGTTCTGTATGTCGACATTCCATACTCCCATGCGGACCGTAGAGCCGCTCTGCGTTTGGGTTTCCACAACGCGCATCGTCGACCCTTCGATGGAGCCTTCGAATCCGATGGACCTGGACGATGGAACATGTTAGGTCACCTTTCACACATACATCCGACGCCACCCCTATCCGTGAAAAGAGCTCACATGTCCTTGTCACTGTAAGTGTGGTGCAGCGCGACGGTCTTGGGGCCGTTGATAATGGTGAGGCCGTCCCAGGTGCCGTCCATCACGGAGTCCTCGTCCGCGACGCAGCCGCCTTTGGCGACGTCTGCTTCGCAACCCAGGATGTACGTGGTGGCGGCAGGCTTGGCATCCTGGACCGAGGCGTGGAAGGATGAGTTGCCCATGTACGGCACGACGACGTCAATTTTGGTAGTGGTGGTCTGCGCGGCAGCCATGCCGATGAAGGCGACAAGGGCGGGCGCAGAATGCTTCATTGTGACTTGACTTTTTGGATATTGTGACACAAGATACAACGACAAGCAACTTTTCGTGCGACATTGCGATGCAATTGCGGGCTTCATGGCATTCTATATGTGTACTCAACTCCATTACAGAAGTTCCTTTACTCTACGAGGACTGTGCCGCAACAGGCTTACAATACACACACGAGTGCCCAATGTTGGCTAGCCGCTCGTATCCTGCAAGCGTTAAGGCAAAAGAAGAAAAAGGCAGGAGAACATCCACGATATTTAGGCTCCCATCAACCAGGCAATTCTCCGATTGGGCGCGCCGGTCGACAGAACCGTTTGTGGAGGCAAACGACCCGCTTGAGCAACTGTGTGGCATTTCGCGTGGTCAGGAATTGCTGGAGGGCTGTGTTTGGCTGAGCATGGCTGGGCGCGAGGCAGCTGGATGATTCAGGATGTGGTGCGAGGACGGTGGGCGGTCAAAGAAGGTTAGCAGAGAAGCATATCGGCAACCCGTTCTCTAGGGCGGGAATGAGTTTGTTTTGACGTCTTTCGGTCGGCCAACGGTGCCGAGGTGTGGGTATGTTGATCGTTGAAGCGATGTTCCAAAAGGCCAGACTCTAGAAGAGGTTGAGAGAAGAGCGTGGGTAATGCATTTCGTAAGCGTGCCTTGGTCTTCCTGGGGGCTAAGCTGGGAACGAAAAGGGGTGTAGGAACACGAGATGACGAGACAGACTCAGCCGACATGCTTTCTGGGCGTTCTGACAAGTCTTGGCGATGGCTAAGTTTTCCTCCTGGGGTCATCCGTTACCCGTTGCGCGATCAGCTCAGGGGCCGAGGACTTGGGGTTGAGAGGTTTGTTGCACAGCATCACGGCACGTAGGTAAGACATCCAATGATAGAATCTCGGCGTCGAGGAAATCGAATGCCGCAGTGTCTTGGATATCGACTGTCTCCCATTTCGACGCCTCAAGCCAGCGACTGGACGCAGCTTCCATGTCGTCCAAAGGGCGCCAAGGGTAGATCTTCGTCTGATGCCTCTACCAAGCCCGAGCACCTGATCCCTCGTGGGAGGTTCTCTCACCGCAACCAGCTCAGCACAAGCTTGGCCTGTCGAGGTCCTGACAGGTCTCACTGGCCTCGCAGCTTCCTCATCGTGCTCTTGTTCAATCAGCGGGAAAGAAGGATGGATGGTGGAACACTGGCGACTGGACCGGGAAAGTGGGCAGGCGGCGGGCAGGAACACTACCTTAGGTAAGTTTCCGACATGTTCCTCTGGGAGGAGGGAAGGAGCTGGTTGACCTCGACTGGCCTCAGGGCGCTCCCTTCAGCGTGGCGGGGCGGCGGGCATAAGGTTGTTACGCTGGAATGGGACGGACGGGGTGGCCCTGCCCTGGCCCGGCGCGATGCTGTTGGCCAGTCGTTGTTTTAGCTCCAGTCTTCAGAGCTCCAGTTCATGCGCCCGTGCCCACCCAGTTCATCATATTTTTCTGCGAATTTCACGGTCTTGGCATTTCTTGGCTCTTTTCCCCCTTCCACCTCTCATCGTTTGTTTCTGCCGTGCTCCTCCCTCCCCTCCCCTACCTACCTTACCTAGGCCTCTAGCATCCGCCATGGGACCGCCAACCGCGGCGGACGCCCACCTGGAGGGGACTGAGGTGCCCAGCGCAGTGGTGGCACCTCTGGGTCCTGGGCATTGACGCTGCTGTGCTGTGCTGTGCTGTGCTGCCTCCTCTGCCACTCTGAGGTGCGCTCCTCTTGCTGAGTTGCAAGGGCATGTCTGGTGTTCGTTTCTTGGCCTCCATTTTGCTACAAAGAATGCCAATTGCTCACCTTCTCTCGCCCAGCCTTGGCCGGCAAGGACGGCGCATTGGCAGAGCCCTTTTCCTCCTTCGCTCACTTGATCAGGTCCCCCATCTTCGTCTGCTGTCGCATTTCAAGTCCAGCATATGACCAGACCTTGAACAACTCCAAACCTCCCTCGTCTTTGTCCTCTCCCCTTGCCATTGCTGCTTTCGACTGACCTCGCCGACGTCGCCCTGCCCCAAACCCACGCCGCCGTACCTGGCCCTCGGGAACGACTGACGGTCCATTGCGCTTTTCGCGATACAGATACGCACCCGCATCGGGACCTCCGCGAAACGAACGAACCCACTCTCCGCCGAAACGAGAACAACCCCTTCTGGATTTCTTCTTCCCTACGCTACCTTACCTTGATAATATTACCACCCATTCCAAGTCCGACCCAGCTCTCCCACCCGTCCGGCTGGCTCGCGGGAACTGCCTTGTCTAGGTAGCCCGCCTCCGATGAGCCGCCTCCCGAACTCGAGTTCAGCATTTTGACGGCAACCGCCGCCGCTGCACCTTTCGCCCTCTTCCTCGGTGCTGTCGAACACCTCCGCCGCTGGCCCACGTGCTCTGTGTGCACCGTTAGGTCTCGTCACAATGATATACCCACAGCCGTTATTCGCATTATTGTCATTATGCCTGGTCTCCTCCAATGCCGTTCTCGCCGAGGATATCACCACCGTCCCGATCTACCTTCCGCACTACGATGCTAAGAGCTGGTCACTGGTGCGGGGCAGCGTATTGTCAAGTGTACGAAAAGAACTCCAGAGGAGCTATGGCTCCCCCCTTTGTGATATGCGCTCGCCGGTAAACTGACTGTCATCCTGCTGCAGAATTCCAAGGAGACGACATATACCATCTTCTGCGCGCCGCAGACGCCCCCAAACTGCGATCTTGCCCTCGAATTCCCCTTCATCTTCGTTGAAGGCCAGCAGACGCTCGACTTCCACGGCACCAAGACATCAACACTGTACGTTTAGGACCCTTTCTCTCGAGGTTGAGGTTAGCTCCGACAGAGGCTGATACGCATGAGCAGGATCGCGGACCTCGGTTGCACATTAGGCGGAACAACGGCAGCGACGTGCTCTGGCTACTCGAGCCTGAAGAGCGGCTACTCGAATGGCAAACTGACGGGACCGACTGAGGTGTCCTGGACCTCGTCCCTCACCGGCTCCGAGGTCCAATGGGGTGTACTGACTCTCGCCGACAAGCCCGACAAGACTGAAGCTGTGCCGACGGCCGCGCCCACCGACGGCTCAAATTACGACGACTTCCTCTACACCGGCGCCATCTCCTCCTCGATGCCCGTCGAGACGAGCCCCAGCGCCGCGTCGCGTCTCGAGACCCGCTGGGTAATCGCCGCATCAATATGCACCATGCTGGTTGCTAGCGTAATAGCAAAGTAGCATATGAAAACTATTTTCCGGAAATGGTGTACATACACCACAAAGATATTTCCGCAGACATGCACCAGTGCAGAGGCGGCGTTCCTCTAGACACGAAAAGGGGTCGGCACGATCCCACAGGTAGACGGAGCAAAGAGGAACATGCGTCAAGGTGATGATGGGCGAGAGGGCCGCTGCTCTCTTGCCCTGGGCGCGAAATAATGGCGGAGTTGGTCCAATGGGTTGGCCACCTCACTAGGCAACCTATTATTACTTGATTTTGTTGGCGATTCGGGTCTGCTGTTCACGCAATGTGCTCCCAATTGGAGTTATACCCCCATATCGGCGTTATACCAAGTTGCTTTTGTTTCCACTGGTACAGTTTAAATGGCAAAAAACACAAAGGCTACATACCATCACCCTGACTGAGACTGCTGGGGAATCTAGGTCTCGGGGTTGAGTGAGGCGTTGGAGTATTCTACAGCATCAACAATTTACAACCGTCATCGATGTTCCATAGACTTGGCACTGCGTGACTGTACATGTGGGCGAGAGACAAAAGGCCCCCTTCGAAAGCTTTACTAGCATGGCGAGGATTGCAAGGAAAGGAGAGAGAGAGAGAGCAGCGACAGATACAGAAACAAAGACGCCACTGATACACTTGGGCTCATTACTCGACTGAAGCACTCCGGCACCCAAGTGTTATGTCACCTCGAACCATGTGATACCCCCACCTGCCTGGGCATTTTGTGCCGATGTCGTGCTGCCTGCCGAAGCGTGCTCAGCATCATCCACCCGACGACACCTACTACGGCAGGTCATGGCTCACACGAGCACTGGCACTGAATACCATATACCATCTCGCTTTGTGAGGTGCCGTCACGCCTCGAAACACGCCTTGCCGTCGGGCATGAAGACATAATTGAACAATAATCCATGTCGTCATGGACAGTGCGGAAGAGACTGGACGTCTTCAAATGGGGCATTGTTTGCAAAAGGAAGTACTGATTTCATGGAAACACACGACAGGTGACCAATCGAGCAGACGAGTTCAGAGACATGAAGAAAGATTCATGATCATTAGGTGATTCCAGTAATGATAACTATTAAACAATACTCCGTGCTCCTTTTTCCTATTCATCCAGCCAAACGCCCAGGCCATTCAAACCATCAGAAAAGTTGCACCAATTCCTGGCATCAAATCAGAGAATGCCCCAGAAGAGAACTTGCGATCCAGCAACAACGGCAGCAACGTTCCAAGCGCCGAGGCCAAGACGATGCCCATCATTGCATTTCTTGCCGCTATCAGCTTTCTGTTTTCTGGCTGCCTCCCCGGTACTCGCTTGGCCTTTAAAGCCTGCCTTCAAAGAGCCGTCGCCCTTGAGTCTGATCTGGTGCTTGACCTCGTAATCAATGGTGGTCTTCAAATTGCCCGTTGCTCTGCCGTTTGCCCCGGGTCGGCTTCCACGAGTATCGATGTTGAGTTTGCCCGATGTAATGTTCTCCTCCAAGACGTCGAAGTCGCCATTGACGCCCAGTGACCCATCGGCAGAAGCATGCAGATTGTCGTTCAAAACCAACTAGGTTTGAATAGCCTGCACGATTTCGTTGAGATCAGAATTGGCGAAATCGCCGGCGTAGCCCTGTACAGCTTCGAGGGCGCTCATCATCTGTCCAAGACCTACGGACTGATCATTGCCGCCAACGTACCACTTTTGGCCACAGACGACGCCAGTGTCATTTGCGGTGCAGGCATTGGCAGCAGCCTGGGTTGTGGGGGTCATCAGTTTGAGAACCTCGGGCTTGAGCTCAGGCAAGTCTTGGGCCGACTTATACATGAAGCGGGAGAGATATCCCTTGAATGTCTTCATATCCGTGTTGCATGTGCCGACAGTCTCGCACGCAGGTTCGTACATGATGTTGGTGCTGTTCTCAAAGGGGCCAAAGAAGTGCTTGGAGGTGTCCAACATCTTGACCGCGCGATCGTGCCAGAGAGATTGTCCAGTGGCGTTGGCCATGACGGCCGCACCATACAGGTAGATGCCCGTGGAGTACGTGAAGGAGAGAGGGTTGACCTTGGTGCATTCGTCGCGAGAGTCGGCGCCATCATAGACCTTCAGGTCAGCGTCGATGAAGCCGACCTTCTCTGACCAGTCCCAGACCTTGTTGGCCCAGTCAAAATACTTCTGTTCGCCAGTGGCGCGACCCAGTCGTGCAGCGAGCTGGAAGAAGCCGCCGTTGCTGACTGAGTTCTTGTAGTTCAGGCCGTTGGGGTTGCTCTCGTAAATCTGCCACAACAGACCGCCGCCACAGTGAGTTGTGTTCCAGCGAGATGCCAAAGAGTCAAAGATGTTGATGCCCATCCGGAGCCAGGACGGGGCGTCTGGGTTTGGCTGAGTGAAGTTGCGCTCAGCAGCGGCCATGACAGCAAAGCCCCAGAAGCCCAGGTCATCATTGCCCTCCTCCGAAGCGTGTTCTGGGGGCATGAAGTCGAAGTTGGGTCCCGTGTTGACCTTGGCAGTGAGGGCCTGGGCGATAACTTCGTTGTAGCTTGGGTCACCAGTGTAGTGGTAGTAGTCCAGCATGGCTCCCCAGAGGGCACCGGCCTGCCACCAGTAATAGGGTTCTGGCAGGTCACCGACCATCTGGAAGTACATGTGTCAGCGAGGACCTCGGGGCAGAGGATAGGTGCTGGATGTTAACGTACCTTGGCGTCTGATGAGACGTTGCCATTGTAGTAGGACATTGCGCCATGAGCAAGGCTGCCGGCAACGGCCTTGATGGAATCTGGGAGGCCGATCAGCAACGTCGTTGAAGGGTAGTGGTAAGTGGATATCACTGACCTGTGTTGTTGAGGTCGAGTGTGTCGGGCTGCGTGTAAGGCACCGCCAAAGCACCGGCCGCTGCAGACGCGACGAGGGCTGACTTGAAGCAGACCATGCCGCCGGCTTGTGGTGGAGAGACTTGGAAGATCAAGAGATTGAAGTTGGTTCCAGACTAGATGCCGTCCTGATGTCAAGCCGGGGACCTGGCCGTTGACGTGAGGATGTTGTAGACGGGGCAAGCCAGTCTCGATGATTTGAAGAGAACGGACGACGCTTGGAGATGGGTAAAGATGGAAAGCCAAGCTATCGTAAAGCAAAAGAGAGCGTTTGCCAGTCGGATGGATGTTGAATTGGAGATGTTGGAGGAAGATGGATATCTGGAGGTGAGGTTGGGTAGATATACCCCGAGGCCTTGAGGGGAGCGCTTATGGCAACGGAAAGAAGGAGTCTGGTAACTTCCACAAACGAGAGTGTTAGCTGCCTCTCTCAGACTTGGAAGGCAGTAGAAGACACCGAAGCGGGCAAGAGAAGGCAAGAAGCTGCGTCAGATCGACGATGCTGCTGTTGCGCATGGAATGAACGGCTGTCCTGTGGTGCGTATAGTGCAGGCGGGCATCCAGCTACCGGAGGCAATGGCGATGGCAGATCCACAACGAAGCTGGGAAGGTATGTAGTTTCCAGCACCGATGAACACACACGGGCACGTCAGGAACACAGAAAGTCGCGGAAAGAGCGTGGTAAGGAGCAGGAACCAGGGATGAGGGGCGGGAAGGCGCTCATGAACCGGCGGCCCGGCCGTCTTAAGGCGAAAACGTCAAGAGCCGGACCACCTCAGGGGCTTGGAGGGTTGTGGGGGAAGCAAGGCACTTGCGCTCCCCGCATTGGCATTGCAGAAGACAAGGAAAGATGCAGGGGCTTGTTGTCGAATCCCTCCGTCCCTCTCTCTACCAAAGTCGCCAACCCATAGTCCCATGTCGACGCTTTCCTTCCACTTCCTTTGACTCCTTTGAGACCCGGGCACCTCAGACTGCCCTTGCTTGGTCGAGTTTGCTCTTTCCCATCCACAAACACGTATCGAGCAAGGAAGCAAGCTGGCGAGAAAAGAGCCACCACGTTTGAAGAACTTTTGTTGCTGACCAGCGGAAGAGAGGCGCTAGTCAGGCACACGCACGTTTGATGGCTGAAAGGGGCACGGCGGCGGCAGAGCTCCAGCCTGGAGCCGCCGAAAGGAGACGCAGAGTCAGCAGTTGCGATGAACTCTGCGCTGAATGGAGAATCCATGCATGCGCTGGAGAGAAACAACTGGTGCAGGCCCCCTGACTGTCCGGCTCCCCCATGGGAGCTCATGGGAGATCGGCTCGTCCGACAAGCTTGTCCAGGTGTCAGTGAGTGACTCTGGCCCACTGATTGGATGCTTGTTTAGCGTTGATCTACTTGAGAGCCACTAGCTCGGGTTACCGTTACTTTGGACTCGACATTTGAAACAGCGGCGCACCAATTTTAGCCGCCTCTAATTGGGAGAGGCTTTGCACCTATGCAACCTCAATCCGAGTTAATAATCTGGGTCTGGCACAATACTGCGGTAGGGTAGCCATAAAGCGACCAAATATCATAAAAAAAGGGACCGCCTTCGGGGAAGACGACGAAACAATGCCACACCGGCCGCCCGCTTTGGGTCCAAGTTCTGTCCGCTGTTACGGAGATGCGATTTCGGGTGGCTTACCGGCGCCGTCTGATGCCGGCTTGAACGAAACATAGGCAGAGAGAGAAAAAAAAAAATTCTTAAGCAGAAGGGGATATAGCAAAGAAAAACCAGGAGAAACAAGTTAAAGAAGAAAAGAAAGAGGAAAAAACTCATGAAGAGAAGCCCTTAAATCAGATCAAGCCAAACATATCAAACCGAACAAACCAAATCAAATCATGGCCTGCAGGCCTCGCAATTTTTGGAATCCCAGATTAGACCTGGTACTACGCTTCCTCCCGGGTGGATCGGATTCGACCTGGCGTTACGCTGCCTCCAGGTCGGATTTCTCTTTTTCATTGTCTTTGTTAGCTTGTCTAGCAGCTGAAGATGAAGAGCCATTGATGGGATGCTGTCGTGGCTGTTGTCAACTTGTGTTGAGCCCGAACAGTTTTCCCCTTTCGCCCTGGTCGTTGACTTCATCGTCGTTTCTGCTGTTGCGTATGCCATCCCTGTTGTTGTCTATATTGCCAGCAAAGGTTTGGGCTTCACGTGGATGCGCGAACAGGCATATGAAAGATAAGTTTGGCAGATGCTGCGTCGTGGTTCAATATTCCATGGCTGCAGGCTTAATGATTTCCTGAATTGTCTATCATCTATCTATTTATGCATTTTCGCCCAAAAGTCGCTTAAGCAACTACCTCGTTCGCCGCCACTTCTTTCCTCTCCTCGTCCGCCTGACGTCCAGCACCACGAACCTCGGCCAGCGTCTTCTCGATGGAAGACAGGAACCGCGTGACCTCATCCTCTGTGCCGACCGTGATGCGTAGACAACCCAAGCATCCGTGCTCCTTGCCGCGGAACCGGACGACGACGCCCTTGTTCTCGGCCAAGCGCTCGTACACCGCCAGCGCCGTGACGTTGTCCGGCTTACCCTCGGCGTTGAGCATCTCGTAGAGCAAAAAGTTACTCTCTGTACCGCCCCTCAGCCTTCCGACACCCGGGATCTTGGGAAGCTCGGCGATGATGCGGTCTCGCTGCGTCAGGATTTTGGCCCGGTTGTCGCGCATGACCGCCAGACCCTTCTCGGAGACGGCGTAGCATGCGAGGGCGCTCGTGGGGCTGGAGATGTTGTACGGCGCCTTCATCGCGTTCAGGAGGCGGGCAATCGGCGGTGACGTGAAGGCGGCGCCGAGACGGATGCCAGCCATGCCAAAGGCCTTGGAAAGGGTCTGCATGACAACGAGGTTGGGCCACTCGAGTACCCATTCGGCGAGGGAGCTGCCTTCGGGCGCGAAGTCGATGTATGCCTCGTCAAGCACGACGACACCGTTCCACGTCGGGTGCTCCATCACCCTCCTGATATCATCCTTGGACAACACGGAGCCGGTGGGGTTGCCGGGTGTGCAGAGATAGACCAGCTTGATGTTGTTCTCCTTGCTGAGAGTGGCGAGGATGGCGTCCGTGTCCATGGAAAAGTCGGGAGCGGGCTTCAGGGGCACCTTGACGATGCTCACGTCGTTGATCTGGGCCGAGACGGAGTACATTCCGTAGGTAGGCGGGCAGGTAAGGATGCAGTCCTTGCCGGGGGCGCAGAAGCATCTCAGCAAAGCGTCGATGGCCTCGTCACTGCCGACGCCAACGAAGACGTTCTCGGGTCCGAGGTTCTTGGTCGTGTGGGTGTGGGTGTTGCGTAGGTTGCAGAGCAGCTGCTTCAGTTCGGGCTGGTGAGGGTCGGGATACCTGTTCAGGCCTAGGAAGTCGATACCCAGATTTCCCGCTTCAAAGTTAGACTCCAGCGACGGGCCATAGGCATTCTCATTGGCGTCGAGAAGGACGTTGGTTCCGTCATCCTTATAGTCGCTGTCAGGGGCGTCAGCCTTCTGATCACATTTCATGCAAGTGTAGGGTGAGTTTGTAGAGCAAGACTTACTCTCTGGCGCATCGATAAGGCTCGAGAGCCAAAATGTTCGGGCGGGCGCATTTTTCCAGGTTGAAGGGCGACATGGTGAGGACACGACTTGAAATTGCTATATGCCCAACTGTTATCACAATGTATTCGGCTGTCTTATATCCAAACTGAGATTCCAAGATCTCGAAGTTGTATCAAGACCCTGGCTGAGTCAACGGATCACAAATTCAAGAACTGGATCCTCTCCCCGAGCATCGGCACGGCACTTGGGCGAAGCTGTGTGCCCCGCGGTCATGGAATTGGCCAATCACGATGACTGTATCCGATGTCGCCGCCCCGCACCAGGCTTTCAGAGCAACGTTCATTGGGAGAGACGGTTGCCCAATCGAGAATTCGTTCAGAAGTAAGGTGGGTCAACGGTTTGTCACCGCGGAAAGAAGAAGCCGAAGCCGATTCCGCTGTACCCGACCCGACCTTATCCCAAGCCGAAGCCGAGATGGGATGGACTTGATTGCTAAGAGAGACTTTAATCAACTGGATTATAGTTGCCATTGAGAACAACACCAGCTTTGATTCTTTGGAAGCCGGTGGAACACAAAGCGTGAAAAAAGCCTTGCACTGTGTATATCCGTTTGGCTCAACCACAAATTCGATCTCACTTTGACCTTGGCCAAAGAAAAGCTGCGGGGTTACGTTTGGAGCCGATATCGATTACCTGCGATGCGTTCCTACTCCGATTTGTGTCTTGCCTTTTACTACGTCTACGCCATCAACCTGTTGAACATCTCTTCTGGGAAGGCCTCCATCGTTCTAGCGCAACACATTTTGCTATCCAGCTTCAAGTCTGAGACGGCTGACGGCCTGCTTACAGGCCGGCTCTCCCCGCTGGCCTAGGGCGGCGGATCATGGCGAATTTAGGCTGATTAGCCATCTTTGTCATCAACCGACTGCAGGTCGTGGACAACTGTCTGGACAAGCTTCTCGATAACAGCAGACCAAGTCGGTTGAGCAGCCTGTTGGCCGACGCCCCAGTCGTTTTTTCTCCTCCACTCTCAGCGGCGCGAATCGAAGCCTCTGCCGACCTCCCCATCCATGACAAGCTAGTGCTTCTTGATGTGGCGTCCATGGAGCTCTCGGGTAGATTTCTTGCGAGCGCATCCAAGACTCCAATTACCCCTCACTTATTCCCATGGTCAGATCTGGGGAACTTGCAGGAGCCATCATCTTTTTGACAAGAAGCTGCAGCTATCGTTCGTCGTTGGACCCTAGCACGCGGAGACAGGCGTGGAGTGCAGGGTCCCAGACATGATCTAGCCCATCTCATAGGCGGCGCTTCTCTGCCCGTTTCTCCATCGGTCTGCAGCCCATTTCCGTTCTGCCGGACAAATGGCCCAATTGATTGCCATGACGCAGTCGAACAGGATTGTCGGGAATCGTATTTGAAGACGGTGCCCATCTGCGAACATGGAGACGGAGCCGTTGCCACATCCTCCGAGTTTCCCACTATTTCGTGGTAATTCCA